TCCTTCACAGTTAGCTACCGTGGGCAAATCTTTGTTACAGAGAGCACGAGGGATCTGTGACAGCAAACACCTGGCCGCCGAGCTTCAGCACGTCAAGCAAGTTCTGCACGACAACAAGCTTCGGGTCCCGCGCCTACGTCACAGTGACCGAATGAAGCCGGCCACAGTCGAGCGTGTGCCTGCTGTACTACCATATGTCAGAGGTGTCACAGACAAGATTGGCTATATCTTGAAGCGAGCTTCTATTAGAACATTCTACAAGCCGCCGAAGAAGATTAGTCAGTTCCTACCATCCGTCAAGTGTCATATTCCTCTACAAGATGCAGGAGTGTACAAGCTTGATTGTGAATGTGGTCTCTCTTATATAGGACAAACAAAAAGATCAATTAGGACCCGCGTAAAAGAACATATAGCTGATGTGAAGCATCAACGTTCCGGGAAGTCTGCAGTTTGCGGTCATATCCTAGACGGCCCCAACCATTACATCAGATTTGATAGACCACAAATCCTCGCGAAAGAACACCGATTCCTACCAAGGATGATATGTGAGGCTATTGAAATTAAAAAACAACCTAATTTCAATAGAGAAGGAGGCTGGGTACTACCACCTGCTTGGGATCCTATAATCAATAAAATTAAAACTAAACCCAAGCATACCACTGCAAGACCTCAGGACATAGTCAGTTCATTTTGCATAGATCGGACCATAAACAATAATTAAAAAAGCTGAAGGTACTCCGGGTTTAACAATGAGATCGGGACGTCAGTCATCTCAGTCCCCCGTGACCATGGGTGCTGGAAAGCGCCCGAAACGTCGGGAATTAAAAATAAAAGTAAATAAAAAGTAAAAATAAACGCGATAAAATCCGTAAAAGTAGTTTTAATCATAGCCAGTTATTATTCTCCAATTCGTAAAATTCTTGCGTGGTACAAGAAGATCGCTTCAAAATAAATGTTCACTTCTACAAGCACAAACAGATATTGTGAGAAAACTTGTAAATATATCACAAATACCAGCTCCAGCTGTAGCTACACCACAGCAAAATTCAACTGCAGGGTCATCACAATGTCAAAATGTCCCGCCATCGCTAGCACAACATTTTCTTAAAATAATGGACAAAAACGAAGGTATACAGGTTACTACGAACGACATAGCTTGACAGGCGAGACATCACAGGTGGCCCCTAATAAGGCGAAAAGAGTTTCGAAAGTATGCAATATTTGCACAAAACCTTATTGTTTGCAATGTTTTCAAAAATCTCTTGTATAATTTTTGTTCTATAAAATAAATTTTCTGTTAATTTCCCGTAATTTTGTTACTTACTTACCCATTGTTTTGCTAATTTCTAAGTAATGAAATAATAAAACCTCAAAAAAGGTTTTGAACGTATGGCATACTCAATGTTAAAAAAAATATCGAGTATTTCCCTATGTCCCAGCATTTTTAATAATCCTTATGATGTGTCCGGCCAAGTCTGTATTAAATATCAGACTTCCTTCTTACGTCCACAGTATCAGATGGCTTAGAAATTGTATGGGCGAACATGCACCACATATGGTCTGTGGACTGCTATGGAAGTCTCTCTACTCTCCGTATGTGTTCTGTAGATAGTGGACCAGAAATGGTGATATTAATGGTACCTAATGGTTACTGTTTTGTTTGTATATGATTAAATAAATTTCTTGTAATAAAATAATGTTTTAATTACAATTTTCCAATAAACTTTTATTTATAATTCCTAATTTAAATGAGGATTTGATGAATGGGATTGAGGCCGCTGGTAAATGTCACAATATTGCAGTTAATGTTACCCTTAATGGCATGAACGTGAAACGAGTCACTAAATTTAAATATCTGGGGCATATTATTACTGGTGACCTCAAGGATGATGCTGACATCGAAAGGGAGCGCAGGGCTCTGGCGGTTAGAGGTAATATGTTGGCTCGCAGGTTTTCCCGTTGTACAAAACAAGTTAAGATTACGCTTTTTAAAGCATACTGCCAGAGCGTGTACACGGGGAGCCTGTGGGTCAAATACACCAAAAGATCGCTTGAAGCCCTGCGCATCCAATATAATAATATATTCAGGATGCTGTTGGGACTGCCTCGTTTTTGTAGTGCATCGGGGATGTTTGCGGCATACCAAACAGACGGTTTTAATGCCATCATACGCAAAAAAACCGCATCCCTTATTAGCAGGGTACGAGCCAGTCACAACAGCATTCTGAGGACCGTAGCGGACAGATATACATCGCCGCTGTGGAAATGTCTTGTGCAGAGACTGATAACTGGGCCCTATCCACCCCCATGATGATCTGTCTCGGCACAGTGTATTTATTTTATTTCCCTATATTTTAAGCAAACCATTGTTTTTTTTTTTTACTAACCCTTCTTATTATAATTGTTGTTATTATTATTGTGTTACTAACCCACATATGGATTTTAATTATCTGAAATAAAGAATTTATTTATTATTTATTATAAATGAAAAATACAACATAAACTCAACTTGTAAATTTATTTCAAGCTATTTTGGGTCTGAATTATTTATTTGTTTTCATTTACTTGCATTCATTTCCATTTAAAAAATTTAAAAGTAGTTTTAAACTCCGTTTTTTTTTAAATGTATTTAACATTTTTTAAAACTTGTCTTAAACACGTGTTTTTAAACAACTTGTTTTAATCACGCCAATCCTTGCAGTAAGTACAGTGCGGGACATATGCATAACATTAATTTCCGAACATAAATTTAGTCAATGTGTCCAATATTTGTATTATAATTAGTAGTAAAACTAGTACTTATAAACATACTCATTATTTTAAATTTCCAGTGGTATGAATTAATTTATTTGATAAAATTATTTTTAGGTGGGTTATTATTGTAAAACGTTAGTTTCAATAATAATCCAATAGTCGACTTTCATTTCGCTCATTGTTTAAATTAAACCAGGCCTCCATTGCGATTTATGTTACTAAACTTATATTGATAACCAAAAATATTTGTTTTGACAATGACATTAAGAAATTCAAAGAAACTAATTGAAAACTAATTTTAAACCCCAAGAAGAAGAAAACCTATAAGTTGTTAATGAGGTAGCGAAAAAAGTAACGCTACCGTAATTTTTTGCTCCCGAAAAAAATGTGTATCGTTATTTTCAGATATCGAATTAAAAGACATGACGTCATACCTTGAACTGTTATAAGATATAATCCATAATTTTTCTTTTTGGCGAAAAAATAAATAACGGCAGCGTTATTTTTTTATGCGGTACGATATAACGGTAAGGTTATTTTTTCACTACCTAATTATCAACTTATAGGTTTCTTCTTCTTGTGGTTCAACAGTACCTTAGTTTTCAATTGGTTTCTTAATTTTCATTTTCAAAACAACGAATACTTTTGATTACACAAACAATTTTTCGTTACCAATATATTTTCGGTGTATGTAAAAGTTATGCAAAGGTATAACGATATCCATAAAAATAGCGTTACCGTTATTTTACACCGATGGCGTACCGGTGAATTTTAACGGATTTCAGTCTACGTTTAAACAATAGAGATATCAAAATTTTATACCGGTAGCTTAACATCATACCTTGACCGCAATCAAGCCCTGGCTTAAACCTACCATTTACTAAAACCTAATCAATTGGTAAGCAATATAAAAATACGATCACTATTAAAATCAACGCTGCCACCTTATGCGCCTTATACGCTGTCAGCTATTATGAGAAATGGTTTAATTAAAATTTTCGCAAATAAATGTATCTGACCGGGTAGTGGCCTTATATCCGCCACTCTGACGGAAACAAACCCGGAGATGGCAGCAGCGTCTTCTTAATAACAACTAGAAAATAGAAAACGGTGGCTGCCAACTCACCTGCCAAGCTTGGCAACTATGGCAATCTTTGTTATAGGCTTATAAGGCTCAATCTATGGGGAGGTATATTTTTAGCAGTGGACTTTTATAGGCTGTAATAATATTGATGATGATGATGATGATGATGATGGAATAAATATCTCAAGAGACTATCCCTTATGTTACGTAGAAATATGTTTGCATTGATTTGAATAAAATATATGGGTTCCTGTAAGTGTCTTAAATCAAGACTACGAGTAAAAATAGGTCAAATAGACGCCGATAAATTCGTTTGTATAAACCATTAAAGTGCGAGCAGACCTATTTTCAGTAACGAATTATAATAAACTGAAGTGATGATGAAGTAATGGCTTCGTATCAAAGGTTATATTTTCTTTTTAACAGTTAATGCGGTGGGGGCGCGTACAATGGGCTCACGAGTTGAACCAAGCAGAGCTTACATCGCGCGTTGCTGCCGCCTTACTTGTCATACAATCGTCAACAGAAAAACATTCGGCAGCTACAAAAAGCCGTAGGGGACAAAGTGCTTAATTAAGTGAAAATAGTCATGAACTTATTAATTGTAGTAAATTAATTTAGTTAAAATAAATAATTCAGTCAAATATAGTGTTTATGTGATGTTACCTTACCTTTACCTGTTACCTTTAAGTTACTTTCTTAATACCATTTTTAATATTTTTGCAGTATTTGTCTTTCCGGATCTTAAAATAAAAAGCATTTCATTGGATTTGTATTACTGTATTTAATGTAATATACACCTAGTATACACACATCACACGATAAATATAGATTTGCATTAGGTCTTTACTTAACCCCAATTTTTTGTATTGAATATTAAAGGTATAAGCAAGGAGAATATACTTACTATACTACAAAATATGGATATTAGCAAATTGCTATTATTTTTAACCCTTGAATAGGCAGATATATACTTTATTGTAACCTAAGGAAACAATAAATTAACCTAAATTACATTATGCTGAGATGCTTCGTCATGTGTCAAGATCAATCAAGGATCGTTATCAATTTTAACAGGACAGAAGTGGGCGATAATTTCTTACGTTATGTGCCTACAATGCTATGCACGAATTGGGCGGGATAGTTCATAAAATATATTATTATGAAAAAAAAGATTGGTCAAAACATTGATATCAATTATTGTTTGAAGCTTTTGGTAAGTACCCTTGTTTGTAGTTATTTGTATATAAATTTATGGATATATATATATATATATATATATATATATATATATATATATATATATATGTATAAATATGTGTATTAGTTATATTATTTATATGTGTAAGTGTATATAATAAAAAAAAAAAAAAAAAAAAAATATATATGTATATATATATATATATATATATAATATATATATTATGTATGTGTAGCATGTACATTTTTGAATTGAATGTGATCATGACAACTTTACTCGCCATAACTCACTCTCTGTTCTACCCAAGGTTAGCTGGTAGAGAATGCCATATAGCATTAAGCTCGCCTTTTGTACAAAATCTTTGGTGCAATAAAGAATAAAATAAATAAATAAAATTCCCTTTGTATTTCCATTAATATTTCTTATACATATGTATTCTATTTATCCTTTAATTTTCTTCCATTTTTATCTTATAGGTAAATATTATTAAAATGAACTTAATAAGTACTTGCACAACTAGTAGAGATTGACTATAATAATGATAGATTATGTAGCGAATGGTAATTTAATGGCTTGAAATAATTTAATGCCGAAAATAATCTATCCAACTATGTTTAATTAAAAAGTACAAATAAATAATAATAGAGGGTGTATTTTTATGGATAGATTTATACCAATAAACTTTTTGAGTTGAACAATTAAAGTGCCATGTAAAATTCGGGAAGTATCCAAATTTAAGTGGGGCCGAGCGTTTTAAAATGAAATAGAAATAGCAAAAACGGAATCGCGAAGTTACGCTAAATATAGCTGAGCGGGCGGAGAGGTGATGCCGCGCTGCGGCTCAGTGGCCGCGCAACCTCGCTTTGTTCTCAACTGCTCTACATCTGTGCCTGGGGCTAAACTGTTATTGACAGTATGACAATTGTGGTTGTGACTTGTATAATAATCAAAGTATGATTATTTCCTAAATTTGACTTTCGTCGTGGAACGTAATAAATGTAATAATGAAGTGTGTTAACTGTATATAAATATGTCATTGTTTGTGCGAAATCGAGGTTAATATGCTCTAGTTTTGGCTTTTGTAGCATCTCAATATTTTGCATTGTGTAAGTATCGAAAATATATTTCAGTAATGCTGTGGTCCTGTCTGATTTCTATTGCATACATCTTCCGAATATTATTGCAATCTGTCAACTGCCCAGGATAAATTATAGTGCCACAAGTGTTTGCGTTAAAACAGACGTTGACTCGTTCTTAATCTGCCCGTGTCATAAGTAACGCTATAAAATACGGGGACTATCATAACCAACTGTTTGTGGTTTTGTATAAATGTTGGCCCCAGCGGGAATTTCAACTCTGGAACCATGCCGTAGTAGAGAGTTACCTTGACCATTTTTCAACAGACTTCAAAAAAGGAGGAGGTTCTCAATCCGACTGGTTTTTTTTAATGTGTGTTACCTTAGAAATGTTTTCTAGGTAAACCGATTTTGATGATTCTTTTTTTATTTGAAAGTTGGTGCTCATCATGTGGTCCCATATAAATTTGATCAAGATCTGACCAGTAGTTTTGAGTTATCATTAATAATACATATTTAATTGACTTCGACTACATTGATGATGTTCACATTTTATTCATATTGAAGTCGGGTATACAAAATTTTGAATTATACCACTTGTTTTATTTCCACAGTCGTCGTTTTCATTAACACCGTAGGTAATTTAATATACCTTAATGGTAAAAACGGGACAGATCTATTTGTTTAAATAATATTATTTAAGTTTTGTAATAATTTTTTCAGGAGGTGATGAACGGCGATATAAGCGTGGAGGCATCACGCCCACGTCCTTTATCCGGGGGTATCTGGACGTTATTTTCTTGGCTTCGTCGAGACGAGCGTTCCTTTTCGGACGAAAGTCTTTCGAGTGTAGGATCAGATCGAACTGCCGTCAGCTTTGCCTTTTTAGAACCGCTTCATTATAAAGCTGCTATAGAACCCATCGTTTTACCGCCCCTTAGTCCACCTACGGACTCGTATAAAAAAAGGGTACGTGATAGAAATTTTCGGAGACAACGCGAACGTGATATCACCCTTCATCGCAAGTACGGTTTATTTAAAGGCGAAAATAGCGATCGATACGACGTTCTTAGTCTACCACCTGCACGGAGGAATATTTTAAACTCTAGCGATAAAGTAGAACGTGGACGGAGAGCAACGAGTGAAACCTTTCAGAGACGAGCACCTTACGTGCCTGGTAAACGACGCGCTCCGTTGCCTCCGACAGTAACAACTTCTCTGCCTCGAAATTTATCCAGAAAAAGACCAGCGCCTCCACCACCCACAAAATTAACCGAAATACCTAAACAAAGTATTGAATTGTGTGCTGAATCAATGAACACAAAACCTGGCTGTGATAAACCTTCATCTAGCAGCAAAAATGTATCCATAAATGCAAAAATTGAAAGGAATAATAGAGAAGAAAAAATTAAATCCGATAAAAGTTTTTTGAAACAGATTTTTGAAAATAGAAAAAGAAATTCTGCTATCGAAACAAACTATGTCAAACTTTTACCAAATATAAGCGAATTAGATAAGCAAGCAGCGAAGATAGTTGAAGATAAAAAACTCAAGGTATTAGAAGGTAATGCAGTTATTTCTATGAGCGGCACTAATTCAACGTCAGCAGATAATGTTAAAGAAAAATGGATTTGTACATTGTGTTTAAGAAGATACAACTCTGCAGTATCTTCTTGTTTGTATTGCGTTAAAAACGAAAAACAAACACATGAGCCATTTAAAGATAATGTGAACATTTCACCAAATGTACCCGCAAATATCTACACACAAACAGACAATGAGCTTTTAAATGTGGCATCAACAAGTAAAGCAGGCTTAAGTGAAGAAAAGAAAAAACTTAAAGAAATGTTAAAGGAAATGAAAGATTCTCTGCCTAAGAGGCCTAAGCATAGTATAATCGATACGGAGAGCCCCACTCTTCGCATAGGATCTACACCAAACCATAAAAACATATCAACTTTAAATATAGAACCTCCTCCTAAAAACGATAATACTTTTATAAAGAGTTTAGACAAATTAAAAGTACAGAACACTGAAGAAAATGTTTCTATTGTTGCCTTAAAGGGTTGTGTTGCAACAAATAAAAACGGTTTATATTCACATCCTTCTTCCAGCAATATAACAACCAATTATCCAGTAAAAGAAATAACACCTCAGTCTGAATATAAGAATACAGGACAAAAAGAATTTCAAACACCTGATACGAGTACTGAAATAACTAATAAAAATATTTTTTTTAACCATCAGTCTAATGTCTCAAGTGAAATGGTGAATATTCCTTTGACCAATTTGAAAACGACAAATCAGTGTAATGATAAACAAAATGAAACCGATTCATTATTTCAACCGAAAGATTCTTTTTCAAAATTTGAATTTATTAAGGAGAAAGTAAATAATACCCAACTGGAATTTCAGCCGAATTTATCTAAAAGTAAAATTTCATCAAAAATAAAAAAGGAGTCTCAAAGTTCAATAATAATAAAAAATACACCAAAACCATTAGAGGTAATGCATTCTGTCATGAATAAAGCTGCATTAGACTCAGATTTATCAGATAATATACAAATGAGACGGATAAATACACAAGAAAATAACATCAAACCTGAAGCCTTACAAACAAAAATAGCGCTTAAAAGTTCAATATGTAATAAACCAAAGACAAATGTAGAGAAAAGGAAAAATGAAAATAATCCACAACATGCGCCTGAAGTTCATTCAAAACTAAAAGAGGAATCTGACGAAATTGGAAAAAGTAAAGATAAAACGAAAACTCCAATTTCAAGTCTTATTGATGCGCCGAGCATTCATACACCCTTAAAGATTTCATCTCTTTTAAATTCTTTTTATCTTCCTGCACAAACTAATCGTGTGAACATAGAAACGCCAATAAATATAAATAAAACTATGAAATCAAATGTTACTCCTTTAACTTCGTCTGACATATTACAACAACCTTCGAATGTATCTATATCAAAATCTCCCAAGTCTGTTAAAGAAATATCCGAAAGAAATGAAAAAGAAAATACATCAAAAGAAATAAATTCTGCATCCAACATAATCACAAATGATCAATATAGTACGAATACATCAGTATGTAAAGTATTAGGCGTAACGCCATCATCGTTATCAAAAGAAATTAATAACAATAATTTGGGTAAAATTGATCACCATTTTAGACGACGAGAATTAGTAAATCAATTGGAGCAATCGATAGCAAAAGGTGATGAACAGTCAGCAGCTGATGCTGCTGTTAAGCTTGCTAAATTGCGTCTATCATGTTCAGTTCTGTCCTTCTCTTCACAGATAGTTGGAAATGTTCCTACAACTTCAAACATTGATATGCCTATTCTAAAACCTAATGAAAATGAGACAAATAAAATTATTAAATCTGATTTAGACGAAAAGCATAAGAAACAAAATGTCGAATCCAAATCTATTAAGCAAAGTAATTTACAACTAAAGTATCATATAACCAAATCTTCAAATAAGAACAATGAGCATGTACCTAAAGCATCAACTTCAATAGTCGGTGATCAAGAAAACAAAACGCGAACAAATAGAGTCATTAGCAGCGTGATCAATGTGCCATGCGAACCATCAACCTCAAAATCCAATCCTGTTGAAAATGGGACGATATCGTAAGTAATTTTTTTAGAAATAAAGAAATGAATTTATTATAAATCTATAAATATTAACGCTTTTTGTTGAATTTTTACATGCTATCACATATTAATTTACAACTTGTGAATGTTATCGGTTATAATATAGTACATAATTTGCAACATTCTTCTTTGCGGAAAAACCTAGAGTGTTCAATAAAAAATTAAAATGAGTATGTTACAGCTTACAGATAACATTTATTAAATATTATTGATTATTTCGACACACACTCAGAAATATTAAAAATCACTAGGTACAAAATCTAGTTAATATGAAGGATGTTCAAGTATTTCAAAGCTTGTATTGCAGCCATCGCAACTACGTACTAGAGAGCTGGGGCGTTTCTTCGGCAAAACAAAACAATTTTTGCGGGTTTGCCTCGCCTTTTCTTGCGGATCGGATACAAAATGCCCGTAACAATTGCTCTATGATCTAGATATTCATTCATTCCTATACCCATTGACTATCCCGAAAAAAAGAGCTCATGATTTTACTGATGGAAGGATTCTCTTGAATTTCGTAGGAATTTGCTATGATGGTCCTTTACTAGTTATCGTAAAGATAAAGCTACGTATCGTCCATTGTTCTAAATTTAACTACAAAAACCTATCAGGACCTTGTTGCAACAATTCCAAAAAGTCTCGGAAAATATTCAGGATGGATTGTTTCTGCTCATCGGTAAGTATTTTGGGTACCCAATGTGTGGATTTTCATTTTTTCATCGTCATCTTTGGGTTAGGTACACGAAGCGAACAATGAATTACAGTCAAATATTGTATGGGTTCGTGCCGCCCGAAGCTAGAGCCAAAAATGCCCTCCCCATGCTTACAATTATAAAAAAAACAACATAAAATGAATTTATTCTTTGAACATGAAAAATTTTTTTGTACTTTTTACACCAAAATCGTCCCGTTAATATACTTAAAAATCAGTTACTTATTTTATTTTCGCACAAAGTCATTCCTTTTTAGCCGACATCAAAAGGTTGACAGACCGACTGTGAATGTTTTTTTCTCTTATTTATTGTATGTATGATACGCGATATCTTCGTCGATTGTAAACCAGTTTTGATGATTTGAAAAAAAAAAATCCATCCTAAGGGTGACAAGATAAAGGATGAAGTTTTTACGAATCTATGTAGACGATTGTATACCCTTAACTATCTGGCATTGGAAAAGCGATCGTATTGCAAAAATTTTGCCCCGCCCATATTAAAATGGCATGAAAGAGTTTTTTGGAAAAATAAATATTCCTATAGTCGCATCATACCACATCAATCGAAGGAAACGAGGTGATGGATTAATAAAATTGTAGACTGTAAGCAACATACCGTTTGACCTCCCATAAAATTAAAATGGTTCATTTTTTGTCGTCATATTGCACTGTAGTCCGTGGTCTAGGAACCGAAGTAAAGAAGTAGTACTGATTTATTTAGCGTTACGTGTCGCAAATCAAACTTCATTTGTCAATTGTTGATAATTTGAACAAGTGCGTGCGTGCGTGCTTCGATTTGAAATATAGTAAATAATTCGTTTTTGGAAGAGTTTTGATGTTATTTTGGAAACATGGATAGGTAAGTGTCTGAATTTTAATATCTAAAGTTATCTTTACGAAAATATTGTCTTGTTTTGTTTATTTTTTTAAATTCTTGTTTGTTGCTCGTAGGCAACATTGACCGAAAAGGAGAATTTATTATAAGTAGTTCTGTATGAGAGCAAAAGTGTTTATAGGAGTTTTTTATGTTCTAGAAGGGCTCGTAAGCAATCCCTTGCGGACGAGTACATTGCTGCAGCGCTGGAAGATGGTGCGGATAATGAGGATGGGCTAGATTTTGACGATGACAACCTTGCGGACCCTGATTTTGTACCCGAACTGGAAACATTCGAAGATGACAATGTGGCGTTGGACATTGACATGGATTCTCTTATCGAAACTTTAGAAGATGACCACGAAAACCCATCGACTAGCGCAGAAATTTCCCCATCAAACATAAGTGTTCCTCAGCTTTCTCCAGGTCAAGATAACCAACAAATGAGCAACGAACAATCCCAAGGTAGGAAAAAGCCCGCCAAGTTGATATTACGCTGGAAGAAGAAAAATCTTGAGTTGAATGCCGAGCAGCTCATGTTCAAGGGAAACAAGACCTTGGGTCCTGATCTTCTAGAACTTGATACTCCTATACAGTTCTTTTTATACCTGTTTCTTCAAGAACTCATACAAAAGATTGCAGAAGAGACAAACCTTTACCGAGTTCAAAAGGATCCCAATAGCACTTCACGTATGACAGAAATGGATGTCAGGCAATTCATAGGTGTGGTATATGTAATGTCTCTTATCCAGTTACCTAGAGTTACCAATCATTGGAGCCCAATACTAGGTACAAAACTAATTCAAGAAACTATGCCATTGAATAAATTTGAGAAAATTCGTCAGACTTTACATTTCAATGACAACAGCAAGGACCTTCCCAGAAACAACCCTGAACATGACCGAATTTTCAAAATAAGACCGGTGGTGGACTCTTTGAATGAGGTCTACAGCAAAGTTCCATTGGAAGAGCACCTTTGCGTTGACGAACAAACGTGCTCCACTAAAGCACGAAATACGTTGAAGAGATACAATCCCAACAAACCACACAAATGGGGCTACAAAATCTTCGTGTTGAGTGGCGTTTCTGGATTCGCCTATAAAACTGAAATTGAAACTGGTAAGGAGAATGTTGTCGTACAAGAAGAGCCTGATTTAGGTAAATCATCTAACGTCGTCACAAGACTAGCGCGCATTATTCCAAGACACCAGAATTTCCAGCTCTATTTTGATAATTATTTTACCTCTCTTCGTTTGTTGGAGTATTTGGCTAAAGAAGGTATCCACAGTCTTGGTATAGTAAGAAGAAATAGAATACCAGATTGTAAATTGCAACAAGAAAAGGAAATCATGAAAAAATAACGTGGTTATTCTGAGGAATACGTAGCTGACGTGAAAGGAATTGATGTGTCGACTGTTGCTTGGAAGGACAACAAAATAGTCGTCATTGCTTCAACTTTTGCTGGTCAAAAACCAGAAGCTGATGTTCGTAGATGGGACAAGCAAAATTCAAAGTATGTGACTATAAAGCGACCCTATGTAGTTGGAGAGTACAATCGCCACATGGGTGGAGTCGACCTCATTGACAGCATCATGGGCATCTATAAGATACGGCTACGTAGTAAACGATGGCAGGTGCGCTTGTTCTACCATTATCTAGACCTCACGATGGCTAATGCATGGTTACTTTATATAAGAGTCTCAAAATTCAAAAATCTTTCAGCATCAAGCATTTTATCATCAGCAGATTTTCGTCAAGAGGTTGCAATGACCCTATATAAAATGGGTACAAAGTCTGGTATGTCTGGCCGGCGTTCGCTGGAGACCGAGATTCAAGCCAAAAAGCGCAAAGGACCTGCACAATACGTACCGCCAATGGCAGTACGCCAAGACCAGATAGGCCACTGGCCGCAATGGTCTGAAAAAAAATGAGATGCAAGCTTCCAAAATGCGTTGGATTTACGTATAACATGTGTGAGAAATGTAATGTGTGTAAATGTGTGTGGGGTAGCACTGTGTTATACCAAAACTAAGAATTGTTTCAGAAATTTTCACCTATCATAATTTTTTCTGAAAAAGGTTTCTAAAGTAATTCATAGTCGACGAACATACATTTTTAGTCTTATGGTTCAGTGTTGCTTTAAAGCAACACCCCTTTTTTAAATAACTTCTAAACTATTATAATAAATGAAAAATACTGAAACACGTGTTTTTTTTTGTCGTTAAACATCCAGATCCAAAAAATTTGAAAATCCACGTTCTTGAGTGATAGAGGGTTAATTTAATGTGCTAAGAGGTTTGATGTTGGCTTTACAGGTATTCGGTAAAGTTTGATTACAAAAAAAAATCTTAATGTTATTCTTTACAATTTTTTCTAAAGACCTTTAGCTTTTAACAGAAGTTACATAAGTAATCTTTAACTTACGAGTATTACATAACACTTAGATATGAAACATTACCGAACTAAACTTTAACTTATTTATTTTTTATCAGTCTTATCACATTAATTTACAACTACCATAAATAAAAGGGGAGTTCCCCTACTAGAAACGTGTTTTCCGATAGTACGGAACCCTTCATGTGCGAGTTCGACTCGCACTTGGCCAGTTATTTTCATCACAGATTGGTCTAAGAAAGCCTTACGGATTTTGCATAAGCTTTAAATAAGGTATATTTTATTCTACACGAAAGCGATTAAAAAATGATGATGAACTACTTATTTTTTACAGCATACAAATATGGATAGAAGATAAAGAAGCGACACGAGGACCTGTTAATTTACGCATTCCGCGACAAGCCGTAATGGGCGAGTTACGGCTTCAAGCAGAGAAGTCGCTTGGATTAGATTCTCGATTACAACGCTGGATAATTGGACGGACGCTCTGTTTAGATGACACTGTACCTCTCGTCTCTTTGGCTGGACCAGACCTTAGCGCGCCGTTTTACCTGTGTTTAGTTGAGTCCGGTAAGCGTCAAATGTTTAAATTACTTTGGGATGATAGTTGCTAAATGTCAGTGATTAAAGCGCTGTCATATTTTAATTCTATTCCAAGGTTTTGAACTCCAATACGTCTCTAAAGTCAAATAGGCAGAGATTTAAACAAAAAAGTTGTGCATATATAGTCAACATAACTTTTCTTAACAATCTATTTTGCAATTGTCATCAAGGCGTATAAAAGTACCAATGGTTCATTTAAAGTATATTTACATATTTTATGTATTTTTTTTTATTTCATTATTTCTGTAAAGTTTGTTCAAGTAGATTGCCGATACATCTAGTAAACTTGTAATTGATATATCTAGTCCAACGTAGGAAGTGTAAATAGGCTAAAACATATCAAGATTTTTTTACGAAATATAAAACTTCTGAACTTAACCCTAAAAATATTTTAAAATTTGGGTATTATAAAATAGTGCCCTAATTGAATAATAACCGGGTAATATGAATAAGGACAAATTAAATCGAACTACTTAATTCAAACTTCACTACTTATTACATTGCCCGGTTATATATTTTTTTACTTGGGAAAATGTCTAAGAATATCCGCCTTACGGGAGCTAAGGCGGGTTATGTCAGACTCGCACTATACTCGGACTAAAACCCCATGGTGTTCTCCCATCGCCGTATATTGCCAGGGTTACGGGAACGCTTTCGCACACATTCGCGACTCCACCGGCGCCGGATGCTCATATGGGCCTCTTCTCGGAAGGGAACTACACCTACCCCTTCCCAGGTAAGGCGCACCAGAATACAAGGCGCGCCTTCTTTCGCGGCCTCCAACTTCACCTACGCAAAGAACCCCCCTCGGGCGATACGCGGAGGCCATGGGGCCAGAAAAAACATGGCCTTTGAAGCTCCAGCCTTCCTTACGTTAGTGGTAAATTTGGTCAATGGTTCTGCGGCCAATCAAGTTTTGGCCGCGGAGGGTAGGGAGATCAGTGCCTTGCACTAACGACACTCCTCCCCCTCCCCCCCGCGGTTTCACCACAATTGCATTGACGTGGACCGCATAATTGCGGACTCGCCAGATTTGCGGTGGATAGAGCGAGTGGCGCATCTCCATACCGTCACTCCTTTCCTCCCTCTACTCTTCCTCGGCTACGACGGGGATGGAGGAAGGACATCTCTCCTGCCATAGTCCACCAACGCGTATCCGGAGTAGGATAGGCAAGTCCACTCGGAGCGACCACCTCCTGCCAGCCCTGCACCTTGGGCCCCCCGCTACGATAAGGGTACGTATCGTGAGGTACCTAACATAACTTAGCCTATCTTTTTATTACTCTGCCTAATAACTAACGGACTTTATTCATAAAACCCGGTCAATTGATTTATTTCAATGGTTTTTATTATATTGCCTACTCATTTTGGTCACTTTCAAATTAAATGCCGAATAGATCCTACGGTGTCCGAGAAATTATGGTATAGGATTTGAAATACGCAGAACGAAGACAAGGAGTATCGCCACAGTTACGACATGTCTAGTACTGCGATACCGCAAACGTCCCACGTTAGTCCTTAGGGGTGACGGAAAACACATATGCATTTTGTTTTTATTTGGTGATAAATGTAGAATAGTGGGCACGTTTGTCAATCTCCTTCAAAATTACAGATTCTTGTGTGCCCAAGGGCCCCGGTATGGCCTAAGGCGGCGTTGGTGATACCCAGTCTGCCGAACAAACGTGACATAAATCCTCCATAAAAGATTTGCGGGAAAGATTTTTAACATGTTTTTAAATATAGAATAAGGTTGACAGGCGAGCACACAGTCAGCTTATAGTGAGTTGATGTTGAGCCCAAAGACATCTACATCAATCCTCGATTAAGGAACAAAATGCAGATGAGCTGTCACCTCTCAGGACTGAGATGGAATGCCTCGTTAACAGTGAAAAGTGTTTCCAGTTCTCTATACTCGCTATACGAAGTAAAGCATTATCCTGTTGTTTCACGCTAGTACTCTTTATGAGCGAGGAACAAAATGCAGATGAGCCTCTGACTCTTAAACACTCGCTAACAATAAAACATTATCTAGAAAAAGAATGACGACCTCTCCTGAAATCCTCTTAACAGTAAAATTTTCCATTCTCATCTCCTATAATAAACATTATCCTGTTGTTTCAGCTAGTACATAGAAATGCAGAGAGCTTACGAAGCCTAACAGTGAAAAGTGTTTCCAGTTCTCTATACTCGCTATACAAAGTAAAGCATTATCCTGTTGTTTCACGCTAGTACTCTTTATGAGCGAGGTCCTAACCCTTCTTACTGCAATCATCGGTTCTATCCATTCTTACTGCAGCGTATCTCTACCACATAAAATATTTTGTATACATATTTTAATATATACATATAATGTTATACACAATTTAAATTATTATTTATTTACAGAATCAAACAAGGGAAATGCTACAGGTGAACAAGCAAAAGAGCACGAACAAGATAAACAAAATAACATAATTGATAATACTCGTGAAGTATACACTGCATTGATGAAGCTGGAGCAGCAAGCTATAGTTGCTAATACCGAATCTTTTGAATGCAATGTTTGCATGGAAGAATGCGAAGCTGGAAAAGGCGCTGTGCTTCGTGAATGTATCCATACATTTTGTAGAGACTGTCTCTCAGATGCTGTGCGACATTGTGAAGAACCAATCGTTTCGTGTCCTGCGACTGGGTGTTCTGGTATTCTACAAGAACGTGAAATTCGAGCATTGCTACCAACAGAGGAATACGAGCGATGGCTAGCACGTGGACTGGCTACTGCTGAATGTGGAACTCGCAACGCATTTCACTGTCGTACTCCTGATTGTACGGGCTGGGCTCTTTGTGAACCAGGTGTCAGAAAATTCCCATGTCCAGTATGCAAATGCAACAACTGTGTTCCTTGTCAGGTATCATCTAATGTTTTCTAAATTGCAGTTATATATGGTGAAAATTTTCACACCGTTTAATGACTCAACACACAAATGAAATATTACGTAACATTATACGGGAATAGAACTATAAATGAAATGCATATAAAAAATATTTTTAATAACAAGTAAACTTCAAAGAATTAAAAAGAATATAATAATTCTCACACAATAGCTTCAGAAGTCGGTGTCAAGACATAATCAAAGCCCTGACTTCTTGATGTTCTTTTATTCCTTTTAGTTTTTGCTTTGGCTTTTTATTAAGTCAATTTTTTTTACCGATCCAGGTTTCAAAGATTCTCTGCTGGGCACTGTGTGTGACTCTTCTTTTCACATCAGAGACGGTATGAAACAGGGAGAAGACATGACATTGCTCAAGTGGTAGAGCCATGCTGCAACTATATTAATAGTATAGTTGTAGCACGAATAGGTCGGCCCGACCGGGGAAGGACCACGCTCCCACAGAATACCAGCGTAAGATAGCGGCTCCACGTTGCTATGTTTCGTATGGTGCGTGTAGAGAACCGGAGACCCATTTTACTGGAAACGAGGTATTCCATCTTAGTCCTCACGGGTGACAACTGACAACGCATATACATTTTGATTCAAAGTCGTGGATAGATGTAGGTGTCTATGGGCCACAGCAACCACTTACCATCACTGGACTGTGTGTTCTTTTGTTACCCTTATCTTATTTAAAAAAAAAAGTAATATAGATTCCTAAACATACCAAGATTCTTAAGCCGTTTTCTTCCTCTATTTCTCTCTCTATTCCATCATATATCTAATGATAATAATTCAGAACACGTAAAGTAACATTTACAATTTCAGTGGTACCGGCTTTGGAACTTAAACTGGTATGGCCAGCACACTAGAATTGTATACAAATGGTTCACGCCAGTAACGCTCTCTATTAATATTCTTCTTCATCATCAATTATTACAACCCCATAATTTGCCCCATAAGAGAATTGCCATAGTTGCCACGCCTAGCAGACGGGTTAGCAACCGTCGTTTTTTATTTTTTAGTTGTTATTAGGACGGCGCTGCCCATCTTCTGGTTTATTTACCTCTGTCGCCGCCTAAGCCACCTACGAGACGTTTTTACCCGACTGCGGAGGGTAATGTGTTTATCATCGTATATATTGTATTTTTGTTTGTTCCTTTGTGGCGCTCTAGAGACCAAACGCGTGGGCTGATTTTGATGATTCTTACGTCAATCGATTTTTATATTAGATTCTATTATCATTTCTTGTGCGTGTCACTAAAGACACATGACACTGACCAAAATTCAAGATGGCGACAACCAGACGCCATATTGCTTAATATATTTAAGAGTATCTAGTGGTTTTTTTTCATGTTTATTGACCATTTAGGATCTATAACGATTTAAAGTTGGTTAGCGACTCTCGCTTGAATTTTCTAAACTTATAGCTGTGATAAAGTTCTTTTAGAATCGTATAATGGGGTTGAGTGTATAATGGGTATATAATGGTAATCGTATAATGGGTTTATTAATAATTTTTTAGACAAATTTATTTTAAACAAACACAAATTTATTTTAAAAAATTTATTTTAAACAGTGTTAAGCTTGCCACTGCCACAATGCTTACATGCCATTTATTCTATTAGTTTAATTACAAAACAACAAAAATATTAACTCAAATTGTCTTTATCATAGTGTGACGGTCAATGTGTTTTATGTAGATTGAATAAAGGTGCGTTTACCTGTATCAGATGATAATTCTTCTTACAGGCTATTCACGAAGCCGAAACCTGTGAACAATATCAAATTAAACTTCGTACAGCTGTGACAGCAGCACAAACTAATGAAACAGATGAAGGCACGAAAGCGTTGTTAAATTCTCTAATACGCCGTGGCGAGGCTTTGGAGTGCCCAGAATGTCATGCTATTATTACAAAAAAATGGGGATGTGATTGGGTAAAATGTTCAGCGTGTAAAACAGAAATTTGTTGGGTGACCAGGGGCCGCCGTTGGGGACCTGGGGGACGCGGCGATACGTCGGCGGGTTGTAGGTGTGGTGTCGATGGCAAAAAATGCCACCCTTCTTGTGGTTATTGCCATTAAATTACCTTATTGTTATTATATTTTTTCGCAAGAAGTGTACAACTATATTGTATTTAATCAGCATATACCTCTAATAAATCAATATTTTTAAATAGGTTTTAATCTTTTTATTCTATACGGTCTGCACCTTTTCGTTTTTGGGTTCATAAATCATTGTGTATATAATCTACACTTAATCTAAAACATTGAGTTAAAATTTGGTCAAAGTTGATATGTGAGTACCTACATCGAGTACATACTGTGATACTACGTAGTACTATTATTTATTCTGTGGTGATATTGAGAACATTACCTAAAATAAACATTACGACAATAATATTGGAATGAACGAGAGTAAGTAGGTACAGTTTACAGAAGCGTTATACTGTTAAGCGTCTCGTAAGCTCGCAACGCATGTACACATGCGTGGGATTCACCAACAGCAGCAGAGAAAATAACGCTATATTTAGCACTGTACTCGCTAAACGTAGTGGTGTTATACATTTTGGTAGACGCGGCCAGACAATACTCTAGCCTGCCACGTGTGCCGGCCGGCCGAAAAGTTATGGTAGTCTTTTTTTCAAATAGAATAAATGGTAAACGAGCACACAGTCCACCCGATGGTAAGTGGATTCTGCTGCCATAGACATCTACATCGATCCTCGATACATCGTCATCATAATCATCATTGCAGCCCTTCACAAGTCCACTGCTGAACATAGGCCTCGCCCAAGGAATGCCACAAAGCTTGGTCCTGAGCCACCTGCATTCATCTACTTCCTACATGTCTTACCAGGTCGTCACTCCATCTAGTGGGGGGTCGCCCTACATTACGCCTAACGGTACGCGGCTGCCACTCAAGAATCTTTTTATATATCCTCGATTTAATATAGATTTATATAGATCCTCGATTATTTTTCCAAAATGAATTTATCTCTTTTATTTGCGTAAACCAACACGACATTTACTTTACCGTAGACTCTAAATTAGATGAAGTATGCAAACCGACAGCAATACTGCTTATCATGATGTGACACTGGGCAGCAGTGGCGAAGCTATGGCTCCAAACTAGGGCAAACCCAAGATATGGTTTTGTTGTTTTTAGCAGTTTTACAAAAATACACCAATTTTGATCTGTCTCCACTATTCAGTTTCATATTCAGTGCTGTCGAGGACGTGTTTAACAAAGCACACAGAAGGGCAAACTACTGCTAGATAGATTGTATGACATATCAGCAATTGCTTACCTTCGGTGGCTTTGAAAAATGCCGTTTGGGTTTGCTTGAGCGAAAGGGAAAAGATATTTACATACAATACAATACATGAACAAAAGAAAAGCATGAACAAAGTATAAACAAACTATGTAAAAAATTAAAAAAAAAACAAATTATTTATATTATAAATCGATTTGTTTGTCTTTTTAAGGAAAGATTTGATTACGTCAGCGTAAAATGTCGGTGAAAGTTTTAATTATACCAATAACTGTTTTTCAATTGCGATAATTGATAAGTCTGAAAGACGCTCTTGACCTTGTGTATTTTCTAAACAAAGTTAAAAGGTTTTACCTTTTCCTCGCCGATTAGCACTTTAACATACTTCAATACATCACAAGGAACACTATTATCCTCCATTTTCACTAAAATCTTTAAAAAAGCATAAATTGCAACTCGTCATATTCATTCACTAGAGTAAACAAACAGAGTAAAGAGTAAACATTGAAATGTGAAGTGAACATGAAAATGTATCCCCCGCACGCCCTGCACTCGGAAACAACTTCAGAGCAAAGCCCGGCATTTGGTTCCATAGTAATTGCTACATAAACATTTCGCACTTATATTTCATTATAGAACATTTTGCCACATGTTAAAAAGGGAGCCATCTCCAGACGACTAATCCTCAACTCCTTTTTTATGACAGCAGTATCGCTAAGGCTACGAGGTTGACCCGTGTAGAACAGAGCAGCGCACGGGAAGTTTGAAACAGTTTACGAGTTATTTTATTAGTTGATATTATTGATTGAGCAGTTTGATAAGGCAAGCCCGGCTTTTCGGCTTCTATGGAGACTTCGCCACTGCTGGGCAGTGCCCAGTTATGGTATGTTTTTATTTTATTGGTATTTTTGGTAATTATAAAGAAGGTTATACTTCTTTATATTTACCAAAATAATTACCACAACAGGCCTAATCTCGATAGTAATTGACTTCGAATGAATGACTGATTCAAGTCAGTCACCTGGGCCGTACTTTATGCTACCAGAACGAGTATTTTCTACCCTCATTCCTATCAATACCTATATTTGTCGCAATCCTCGAACAATTGTTATGTTATATAGACATTAGAGAAAAACTTAAAAAATGACAAATTGCGCCAAAACCACAACTGGTAGTAGGTACTCGGGTAAACGCGAAGACGTTTCCTTCTTTCAGTAAGTAATTTTGTAATAAAACAACTTCGTGGCGCAGTGGCTTAGAAATGAGTTGTTTCTCATAAGCACTATGCGGTTATTCACAATGCGGTCAGTGATTCTGAGTATCAGGTATGCAAAGCTCGTCGACACAATCTCATTTTTTAAAACGATGTTGACGAGAGACTTGTGGACGATAAATCCGACACCGCCTTGGGACAGATGGTCGCCCTCCCAACAAGTTGCCGGATTCGAGGATTACCGTATCCTACCAATCTCTTCGGACCTCGGATAATCCTATATAATAATAATAATAATAATATATTACAAAGATAATATGCCAGCGCAACTTGTCAACCTCTTCTTCCAGCTCCAGTTTCTTCTCGTCAGTCCTCAGGGTGCGTGCGTTATATGTTGCCAGGTCAGGGCGTCGTAGGTGGCAACCGAACCTCCACCGGAGATTCTTAGCATCCCCCGCCCCGCCATTACTATGGTCGCCATCGTAGTCAGGAATAGCGGGGAAGCCGGGGACTGGGGGCTGTTTGTTGGTGTCGTTGCTCATGGGGGGATGTTTGCCATAGTTGCCACGCTTGGCGAGCGGGTTGGCAACCGCAGTTATTTTTATTGTACAATTGTTGTTATTACAGTACGTTTGCACTGAGAAACATCCAACACGTAATGTTTTGAAACAAATCGCATAAAATAAATCACACAACATGTTTCGTTGATGGTGACGTTCGCACTCACAAAAACTATGTAAAATTATCAACATATATTGAAACTTATCTTTCAACATGACAATATTCCTACAAATTTGTTTTCAAACATTTTGTTTCTGTAGTTATAAATATATAGTTAAAATATTTAAAAAGTATACTTTGGAAGATGCGGCCCTGCATTGTGAAGGTGCTCGACACTGAGGCCATCGTGCCCTGGTGATTTTCCTCCTGTCATCTTCTTCAGGACCAACCTAAGGCTAGGCTCACTATGTAAAATTATCAACATATATTGAAACTTATCTTTCAACATGACAATATTCCTACAAATTTGTTTTCAAACATTTTGTTTCTGTAGTTATAAATATATAGTTAAAATATTTAAAAAGTATACTTTGGAAGATGCGGCCCTGGATTGTGAAGGTGCTCGACACTGAGGCCATCGTGCCCTGGTGATTTTCCTCCTGTCATCTTCTTCAGGACCAACCTAAGGCTAGGCTCACCTGTCTTAACCATCCCACCATCGCCCCCATCCACTTCTGCTCTTCGCTGCAATATCCACTCAACTTTAAAGTGTCTTGCTGACTGTTATGGATGCGGTGCTCATGTGCACTCTCGTGTCTCCCCCGATATGCAATAAAAGCGGAACACCGTTGAGCGTCCTGTTTTTATTAAAGACAAGTGGGTATGCGTTATGTATTAAAAAAAGGGAAAGCTTTTTTTATAGGATAGGATGAAAAACGAGCACACAGTCCACCTGATGGTAAGTGGTTGCTGTGGCCCATAGACATCTACATCTATCCTCGATTACGAATCAAAAGGCAGATGCGTTGTCATCCGTGAGGAATTAGGTGGAATGCCTCATTTCCAGTAAAGGATCATCTGCAGATTTATCTGCTGACCTGGACTCATATAATTGAAGTTTTCTTTTTTCGATCTCTAAATACTCTTAGTCCATATCAAAATTTCTCAACTCAATTTCTCAAAACAATTCAAATCTCAATGTAAAACGATGAGCTTGTGTTATAGGTACACGAATAGGTTTGGTGTGGTCTAGTATGTTGTTGTGACGTGGAGAATACTGCTTGGCTCGAATTTGAAGCTCCTAGCTGCGACAAAGATGAAGGTCTAGGCTGCAAAGGCGCGGGTGTGGGCTGCGACAAAGGTGAGAGTCCAGGCTGCGGTACTGTTTGTGGCTGTGATTCAGGTGAATACTTAGAAAAATAGGAGAATTCCGCATTATCTTCAGTTTCTTGCCTGGGAGGTTCAGGCACATTTCCGGTTAAAGTTTTCGGTGTGATTTGTTTCGCCAAGAATAATAACGATTCGTAATATATCCACGAAGTTAATTTGTGATCCGCCGCTGCACCAAATCTACCTGGTTTATTGCATTTGTTATATTTTTACGGAATTGGTCCCTTAAGTTGGTCCATTTTTTTAATGTCTGGAATTGCTATATCCATTTCCGATGCAACTTCAGCCCATAACCGTTTCGAAACATCTCGATTATTGTAATTTCTTGAAAGTTTATCCCACAGGGTTGGTCTATTAAAAACACAACTAATTAATTTTTCAATATCCATAGTCGTTTAGGTGTATAAGAACGCTGACAGAAACAATAGAATAAATACAGAATTATTAAATTAAACTATAAATACACTTAATTTTCTCTGTAGATGCCGGCAGTCTGGCGACAAATCCCAACAAGTTCGGATCGGCCGTTTTCGTGCGTCATCGGACGATGGCGGTCGTGTTGGTGTACGCGCTCTCTTTGTTTTACAAGTGTTTGATTCGATCGTCCGAGTTTGGCCGTCGTCGCCCGAGAAAACTTCGGCCGATGACGGATTAGGTGTAAGCGAGCCGTTGATCGGATTTTTCGTGCGTCATCGGACGTTGCAATGGTGTTGGTGTACGCGCTCTCTTTGTTCCATAAGTGTTTGATTCGATCGTCCGAGTTCAGCCATCGTCGCCCGAGCAAACTTCGGCCGATGACGGATTAGGTGTAGGCGAGCCGTTAGGCGAATGCTACACGCGCGATATTTAACACGATCTGGGACGCGATCTGGAATGACGTATCCCGATCCAAATCGACGCACCCTACACGTTCATTACGGATCGCGTAATAGTATTGGGCACAAAAGTGTTAAGTGCAGACATATCTAAAATGGACTGAAACGTAGAAAAAGCTTTTTTTTTAATAGGATAGGGTGACAAAAGAGCACACAGTCCACCTTATTAGAAACCTCGATTAGAAATCAGAATGCAGATGCGTTGTCACTCGTGAGGACTAAGATGGAATGCCTCGTTTCCAGTAAAAGGGTCTCCGGTTCTCTACATTCACCATAAGAGACAGAGCAGTATTAACCCCTCAGTGCCCTTAAAATTCTCATGCAGTCGCATGCGCCCGGCAAATCCCGAGCGGTCGCATGCGACGGCATCCACCTGCAGCATTTAAAACCATTAAAACTTATATTTGGTGACTACTTTTCTATGAAGAAGTTTGGCATTATAAAATCTATACAAAATTCTCTATATAAAAGTCAGGTTTTAGTTCATTACAAAAAGACTATTGTATTTTGATAACAAAAACAACACATACCAAGCGAATGTCGGCAGCGTGAAAATCACAATTATTTCAATATATATTACTCGAAATTATTTACGTAAAAAGATAAATCATATTCACACAAAAACTTTCATTACAATTTTATAATAAATCCATAGCATAACTATTTTTATTGCACTAAAGGATAGAAAATTTCATATTGATTCTATAATGCCAAACTTCTTCATAGAAAAGTAGTCTCTAATTATAAGTTTTAATAGTTTAAAGTGGTGTGGGTGCGCGCGGTCGTATTCGACCGCTTGAATTTTGACGGAATAGCACCGCGGTCGAATTCGACCGCTTAGGGGCTGAAGGGTGCTACTATTTTACACTGGTATTCTGTGAGAGCGTGGTCTCACAGAATACCAGTATACTACAGTAACTATACTACCAATATAACTGCAGCATGGCTCTACCACATATAAAAGCTTATGTGGCTATCATTATGGCAATAATATTAAAAAGGAGAGTGTCAATTTTAACGATTTTTTTTCTAACATCTTCGTCATTTTTTTATAAATTGATAATAGTAACTTCTGAAGTGCCTTCATGCGCTTACAATTGTTTTTAAAACCATCACACGATGTATCCCATAATATGGGCGTTGTTTCCAAACATAATATAAAAGCCTGTAAATATTTTTTATGGATTGTAGATGGTCCCGTCGAAACAGTATTCTCGCTTTCGTTTGCGATTTCGGCCGCATCGCTACAAAACTATTCCTCTTCCATCGCTTTTCCAGAGCAGACTGACGCGATCCGTATCGCAACTACACTACACGCGAAATACATACATATTTATCACAATCCTTGGATCGCGATATGGATTTTCGGAAATCTAGAAATTCTGTGATCCGTATCGCGATCCATCAATACTTGATACTACATGTTCAATAAATATCACGGTCCTGGGTCGCGATCCAGGGATCGCGATAAATATCACGCGAGTAGCATTCGCCTTAGTATCGGATTTTGGACTGAGATCTCGGCCATTCTTGGCTTAAGACACCAGACGTCAAACATCACAATAAATAATACGACTTAATTAAAATTACATTTGTCAAATAAATCAGCCAGTACGATCTTGGACAAAATAAATACGATCTTATTAACTTTTTTATTTAGTAGTGTAAAAAGAGACCAAAAATGGCCATGGCATTGCTTTTTCCATGCATGAATTATACGCAACATCTTTGAATATATTTGTCACTTTTTGTCTCATTTGAAAATTAAATTAGAAAAAGCAAGACAAGTATATTGACTCAATTTATGTAGAATTGCAGGTTCTCTCTATGCATACGTATGTATGTAATTCCTCTAAGTTACGTCTTTAATCAAAAGTGATTCCGTTCACAATGTTAGCTACGTACTTATAGCTAGTAGTAAATATAGCTACAATCGACATCGATATACTCGTTTTTGTTTAGTTATTTATTTTTATTACTTTATATGCCTAAAATATTTAAAAAATAGGACTAGAATTATTATTATTATTATTCTAACGAATAAGTAAATTATTTTCTAAATCAATTGATGTTTGAATAAAACTATATAATGCGGATTTTATCGCATGGCATTAATGAACTATTTTTAATTCCCGACGTTTCGGGTGCTTTACAGCACCCATGGTCATGAAATGAGAGAGATTATTTAAATTTCCGAAACATTGGGAATTAAAAATAAGTTAAAATAAGTTTATTAAACACGATAAAATCCATATACATTATAGTTTAATTCAAACATCAATTGATTTAGAAAATAATTTACTTGTTCGTTCGAATAATAATAAGTCTAGTCCTATTTTTTAAATATTTTAGACATATAAAGTAATAAATATAATACATAATACGTTTCTAATCGATTTATTGGTAATTGTGATCTAGCGACAAAAGAGAAGGCAGACCGCCGTCTTGCCACTGTTGTATCACTATACTACTCTACGTGGTAAAGCCACGCTGCATCTATAACAGTTGTAGCACGAATGGGTTGGCTCGACCGGAGTAGTACTAGGTTCTTACAGAATACCATCGTAAAATAGCAGCTTAAGACTGTTGTGTTGAGTTAGAGAACCGGTGACCCTTTTTACTGGAAACGAGGCATTCCATCTTAGTCCTTGACAACGCATCTTCAATTATTTTTAATCTAGGATAAATGTAGATGTCTATAAGCCACAGTATTCACTTACCATCAGGTAGACTGTGTGCTCGGTTGGCACCCTTATTCTATAAATAAAACTTTCATAGCAGTGCCCTACGTGTACATCCCGTGACACAAACTAAGTGTCGATTAAACAAACACAGCTATTATTCCTTGTGAAACCCATACTAAGTCTAGGGATAATTTGGCAAAAATATATCAGCTGAATTGAAGTAGATTTCGTAGTGAACTTTTCACACTATATTTTAAATTATACAAAGATAGTACGAAATTCTGCATTATTCAACTACGTTTCGTTGTAAGATGTCAGATGAAGCTTCCATAAACTTTCGTTGTTATAAATAAGTATTAAGTACGAACCGAATTAATAAAAATCCTTAATTTTATTAAGTCACAGACTAAATGAATTTATCGACGTTTTTTTTATTTTGCTAATGGCACATCAATAGAGGTGTCTATGGGATGGAAAAACAGCAACCCCCTTGTAAAAGAGAGAAGGTGAGATTAATATAGCTATCTTATTTTGTACTATGTTAAACGTCGTAGATGTATGAAGAGTTCAGCTTTATGAATTTTGTTCCTATTTTAGGACTATCTCTATGCTAGTAATTACTCACACTTATCAGAGTACCCACTGACGATACATCCATTTAGAAGACTTCCAAATGGATGTACTCCAAATGAAAATTTATGCAGATACGGTACCATTGACGATACTTCCATTTGGACGCATGGCGTCACTTCAAACTTGTCAGTCGTACGGAATGGAAATAAATAACGACTGCAGCAGCGTGTATTTCATTAGAAAGACGAAAAACCTAAACGGGGCAATCCATCGTAGTCTTCAAAGATGACAACGCATCTATATTTTGATTCTTAATTGAGGATGCATGTAAATATCTATGGGCCATAGCACGCACCACCAGGTGGACTGTGTATTAGTTTGTCACTCCCATTCTAGATATGGTATATTATGGTGGAGCGATATCGTTGACTGAGGTAGAAATTAAAGAAATCAACATATGGATATTATTCATTATAGCTATACGTGGTAGAGCAACGTTGCATCTATATTATGGCTGTAGCAAAAATGTGTCGGCTCGAACGTAGTAGGACCACGATCTCACAAAATAGCAGCTTAAATCTCCTGCATTTCATATGCTGTGTAAAGAACCAGGGGTGACAATGTATTTACATTTTGCTGCACTCCAAATTAAAATTTATTCAGATACGGTACCATTGACGATATAAGCCGTTGTAGCCGTACATTGGATATTGCAACTTGCGACCATCTTAGTGACGTAGTCGAACTGTCAGTACCGTTCACAAGGTCAGCCAGCGCTTACGCGTATAGAGTACGTCTATCACGTGCTTTTATAGCTTTTTATGTTCGTTATCCTGTTTTATTTTTGTTGTTAATTTTTATTTTTGTTGTTAATTTTTATTATTGTTATCCTACTTATTCT